TATATATATATATTTTTTTTTTTACAGATTTCACTTGAAAAAATTAAAAATGTACAGTTGGAATAAATAGTCATTGTATCAAAAGAAGAGATAAAAAGAGTGTACAATTGCAAAAAATAACTTACTTTATGTATACATTTTTAAAGCAATAAAAAAAGGGCAGCCTGGTATACTAAGCTTCCGCTATGCGCGGGCGGTAAAGGGCCGGACCACAAGGATCTATCGTACGCAGCCTTACCCTACATTTCTGCAATAAGTATTTTTTAGAGCAATAAGTATGTTAGAAATAATAAGTTATTTCTTGCAATTGTTTACTCTTTTTATTTCTTCTTTTGATGCAATGACTATTTATTTCAACTGTGTATTTTTGTTTTTTCAGGTAAAATATGTAAAAAGTATATTTTTAGAGCACCATAATTTAGAGCTATATAAAAAATTATAGCCAAAATAATTAATTTCAAACTATGTATTTTTATAACTTTTAGATGCCCTGGCTATTTATTTCAATTGTATATATCTTTATTTTCAGGTTAAATTCAGAAAAAGATTAACTAAAACTTTATTATTTTAGCCAAATAAATTTTTTTAGCCTAAATAATGTAGTTCTATCCAAGTTTTAGTATAAATTATATTCGAAAAAAATTATTTAAAAAAGTAACATACATAAAAAGGTAAAAATATATTTTATTTTTACAAAAAATGCCACATATACAGAAAAATCCATGTGGCAGGCGAGTGCACCCATACAATTTGCCACATCAGCGTCCAGGGGGTTAATGACTCTCAAAAGGCCTAGTTGAGGGGGGTAATTAAGACCACAAATAGTTTAAGGCTGTAACTACTAATCCGTGATAAGTTTAGGCGGGTAATAAAGTATTTTGCCTTTGAAAGTTCCTTGAGAACCTGTAGCACCTCCTCCCTAGTCAAAGGCTTGATCAGTTCCTGTTGTTATGCTGCAGATAGACATGGTCCATTTCTTGTTACAGCTATGTCTACACAAGGTAGTTCTGCTGCAGAAGTGCCTAATAAACTCTTGAAAAAAGTGATGAATTCCTGTTAGATTAACTTTGGATCACTGATCAAACTCCATGCTAATTTTGAATGGAAGAAATTCTGTTTTTGGCTTGCCTGGCTTTCATGTGAGCATGGAAGAATTTGGTATTTGAGTCACCAGAGGAGATCCATGCAGCTCTGGACTTCTGTCTGAGGACTCTTTCATGAATGGCACCACATTTTTCCATCTCCATCAATGTCTCTTTTTCCTCATTTATAAGCCTGCTATTGAATAAGTCTTCTGCAAGACAGTCTTGGATATCACCTAGCTTTTGTTTCAGATTCAGCAATCTGCATTCTAATGAGGAGTACTCTTTGTTCAAGTGTTTAGCTTCTACTTCCACCAATTTCAGTTTCTGCCATACTACATACATGCAGTGCCCACTGATATTCTGCTGTCACACATTTTAAACAATTATCTTGAAAGCTTCCTGTTGTAGCAGAATATTGAGCAATCTGAAGGGGCTTCTCAGGTATTGTTTAGCAACTACAGTGTTGATCACTATAGGAGAATGATCTGAGCAATTAGGGTTGAGATAACTGGCTTCAATACTGTTGTACGTTCGTAACCACTCAGCATTACCAAACACCCAATCAATGTGGTTGTATATCCTGTCATTGGCATCTCATTAATTACACCAAGAAAATTGCCAGCCTTTCCTTGTCACTTGTCCCACTCCCAAATCTGTAATACAATTCTGGAAATCAACCGTTTCAGTAGGATGGACTGGTATCCCATTGATTCTATCATCACTGTGAAGAATAGTGTTGAAATCTCCCAATATGATCCAAGGGCCATTTACAGTTCCTTTTATTCTCCTTAACTGTTCCCACAATGGTTTCCTACCTGTGATGGTGTTATACCCATAGATATAGGTTAATCCACAGCTAAACTGAGATAATCTATCCTCAATATAACAGTGAATCAATTGTGCAGAACTAGAGAGGATAGTCACTGCAACTGATGCTCTTCTCCCGCCAATCCAAATCCTTCCATTAGGTGCATGAGCATAATCTGTATAAAAGTACCATTCCACCCAAAATTTCCTAGTAACTTTTGTAACTTTATGTTGTTTAAATCTAGTCTCAAGGAAACCTATTAAGTCAATCTTCTTTGTAAGCAAAAAGGCCTTGAGTTCTTTTTGCTTATGGGCCTTATTCAGCCTTCTAATGTTCCAAGAGCAGAAGATCATGGGGGTTGTTTTTTAGCGATTCTCCGACTCACTCTCTTTTAAGCTTCTTCTTCATATATTCTCAAAGCTGAGTACTGGTTTGTCCCCAAGGAGTCATCTGAATCGCTCTCCAAGCTGACTCCTGGTGATTCTGAGCTTCATGTTGATTACTCTGACCATTCCATTGAAACACTACTACATGTTTGTCACTTCGCTGCAACTGCACCTTGGTGGGAGCATTATGTTCTTCCTCATTTTTTGAAGGTTCTTTTTGTTTGGCATTAGGCACTGGAATGTCTTATTTAACCTTCCATTCCTTCTTCTCCTGAATTGGCTTCTTTTGCACCTTTTTTCTGACCTTTTTGGTGGTTGTATCTGCTCCTGCTGAGTCTCTTTTCCACATTCTTCAGTGTAGAGCCCAAATTGAGCATTGTTCTGGCAAAATTTAGGCCTCCACTCATATTCAATGTCTTGATTCCATATGTCGCCATCAGATTTTTCAATGGTTACCGTGTCTGGTAGTGGCTGAGTTAAGTCCATCTCAATGAGAATTCTGGCATATGATATCCTATCACCTTTGGCTGTCAATTTATTAGTACATATTGGTCGACCCAAGTAGCTAGCAAGTCGACTCAAGTTCTCTTCAGTCCATCATTATAAAGGTAGTTTAGGGAATGACACCCATAGGGGAAAAAATCTTAGAGGTTCCTTGTTCAATTTAAAATCTGGTACCCATTCCTTTAGGATCATCGGTCTGTAACATCTCCTTAAAACCAGAAGTGCCGCCAAAACATAGCCAATTAGTGCACTCCACCATTTCCTACTATGTTCCTCCATTTCTATTTCATTTAACTTCACGACTTTGACTCCATTTTTAATGACTGGGGGGATAAACTTCAATTGCATGCCTAGGTGTTAAGCTCGATTGTTTTTAACCACATACGCCATAGTAGGGATTTCAGATCCGGAGTTTACCTTGATAGGGCTTGGCACAGGTTTTGCCATGGGGAAGTTCAGTCTACGAGCAGCAGTATTAGTTGTCTCATCCTTATGTATCGGCACCGGCGACTGGATCTCCTGTTGCACACGACTTGGACCTTCTTTTCTCGGCACCCAGTTGATCAATTGCAGTGGAACTAGAGCTTGGGGTACACCTGACTGAGGGGTAGTTACCCCCGCATCACCTTCTATCTTCGTCGCAAGGATTGGAGCTTGAGTTGCCTGCCATTTCCGGCGCGACATCGCTGAGAGCGTACGTTAGCACACCTTTGCTTAACTTGCGCCTGCAGAGCTTCTCTCTCCTCTCAATCAGCACAAGAGGTGTTTGAATGGCTTGGTATATAATATATTAAAAGAATTATATGTTCGCCAAATATAACTTTTATTATAAGAGTTTGTAAACATGCAATGCTCAAGTAAGATTATGCTTTAAATGACAGTGTTGCAATAATGCCTGTTGTATTCCTAATACACTATTTACCAAAAACACATATTCTTCTAGACGCGATTACTATGTCGCTAGCAGAAAATTTACAGTTACAGAGATAAGATCTGAAAAATTAACGTGTTGCTGTATTGGTGAAAAGATATGTCACGTGGATCAATGATATGTTGACAGATGACATTAAAATTAACGTAATAAAGGAGAATGATGAGGTGTGCATAACACCCATAGGATTATTTACAAAGATAATGTATCTGACAACTGAGAATGAAGAGGTAGGCACGGGATACATGATGAGAAACTACAAAAGTGAAAGATCCATTAATAGCTAGGGCTATGGAAAAGGAATCTCTGATTGTATGCGATTGTCTATTGTTACCATAACCTTTATGAATAATTCTAGTAATGGGCAATTAATGTAGTTAATGTCATATAGAAATTTAGTGGGGCAAAACTGTTA